TGACCAGATGGGCCAACAGTTCATCCAGTATGCTGGTTTGTTCTGCTGATTGTGTGTTTTGTGTTTCAGACCTTAAAACTTTTCTTTCATTACAGCTTGAGGCTCCTGAAAACTCAGGACTTATGTCTTTCATTTCAATTTCTATCCCACCTTTCCACCAAAGAGGCACTTCAGGTGTCTAACAAAAAGAGTGTATGTACAATAAACTATAATGAATTACACCAAAATGCTACAATGAAGTGCAAAATAAAAAGTTTAAAAACTGCCTTCAAATTGCTTCTGACTTATGGTGAACCTAAGGAAAACCTATCACAGGATTACCTTGGTATGGTTTGTTCAGAGACGGTTTGCCTATGCCTTCTTTTTTGGCTGAGAGAGTCTGACTTGCCCAATGTCACACAGTGGGTTTCCATGGCCAAGCAAGGATTCATAATGTGATCTCCAGAGTTGTAGCTCAATGCTCAAACCACTACACCATGATGGGCTCTCTTGGGTCATCTTACAGGCCAATAAATACAAGACTGGCATCCTGTTAGTGACATATGCAAGTGGGAATACGATTTATGCTTGTGTTTGTCTTTTCTTTTTTTGGTTGTTGTGGAAGTTGGAATTCTCTTCCACCCTCATGCAATGACCAAAACTTCCATCTAAACTTTCCTTTTAAATGATATATCCACCCACAACATGGCCACTTACTAGCTGGTGAAAGGCAGTGGCACTGGTAGTGGAGAAGCATCCACCTAGGTGCCTGTGGCTGTGGCTGCGTGTACATTGACAGGCATCCTGTGGAGCCTTTCAGGGGAGTTTGGGAGGTCCTGATGTTCATATTGTCACTCTGTGTCCAGACATTGTGCCTTGAATTGCAATGCTTCCACCCTGACACTCCCTTTCCCACCTTGATATCATGATGCTTCAGGAGGATTTTCAAAGCCCTTCCATCTCCCTAGGACACTGCATCTGATTTTAGTAGCAGCAACAGCTGCAGTACCCACTTTTCTGCAATCTGTGTGGGGGAGGAGGCAGAGGGGAGAAGACTTGAAGACCAGTGGATGCAGTGTGGTGCTACGGTGGGAAAGGCAGTGATGGGCTGACACTGGTGACAGGACAGGAAGTAGAGAGGAGGAGAATTATCAGGGCAAGGAGGCGGATCAGCCACAGGATGCTTAAATCAGTTTCAGTGTGCTAAAGGGGTGAAGGGGCATTGAAAATTTGGCTGAGGCATTCTGGTGCTAAGGCAGGAAAAGGAGGTGTGGGCCTGGGCTGTTGATGTGAAAGGAGCCTGTAGCATGTATGTTTTGGGAAGTTTAAATACACTCATCTGTTACAGTGGTTGATTTGATATCAAAACCCCTTCTTTGGGTCCTTGTCAGAGCCCTGGAAGAAGCCTTTACTGCCATGAACTCAAAGTGTGCACATCACATAGGCACCCCAAAAGGATCACATTTGCATTTACAACAATTTGCAGATCAAAAAGGTGAGGCCTAGGAGCTGCGAAGGAGGACATTCACACCTAGAGGATTTATGAGTGCCAGCCAGGATGTGTCCGGCTGAAGATGAGATAACATTAACATCTCATCTCCTCCTTTTGGAAATTGTCTACTTCAAAGAGTAGTAATCAGAACCGCTTTGATATATAATAGCAATTCTTTGCCTCAGGCTAGGTTTAGGGATATAAATGCTCCCCAAATCTCGGGCACATTGGGGGTCTGGCTAGCTTTCATGGTGACACTGTGCTACTGTGATTTCTGACTGGAGTCCTTGGCTCTGTCTGTTGTCCTTTCCTTTCATAACGGTTGAGTCTATCCATCTTCTTCATCATTGGAGCAGCCTCCTTCAGGTAATTATCACCATTAGAAAGCCTTGTGTTTCCTATCCAAGCTAACTACTTTACTCCTGAATTCTTGTGTGTATGTTAGGGTGTCCTTGTAAGTTTGAATCCCCAAATAATTTACAGTTCTTTGGAGAGCTTTGTCCCTCTAAGTCTATTCCCTAGCCACCTCCATAAGCATAGGATAAAAAATTCCATAGAAGACTTGGACTTTAGTAATTCCCCAGGTTCAAGGTCTTCATTACACATCCCTCCACATTCGCTGGGGTTATTGGCACAAGACACCCATGAATGTGGAAAAACTGCAAATAACAAAATCAATATGTTTTTATTTGAGAGAACACCTGTGATGAGTAGAATGTTCAGCTGGCCAATCAGGAGGCAGCTGAGGGCCAACCAATAGAATTCAAGCTGGGAGCACTTGAAAATTCCAAGTTGACAGTTGGAGTGGAGAGTTGAGAAGGAGACAGTTGAAGAGAGTTGTCAGAGAGTGGGCTGTGTTTTGGGGAATTCCTGAGGAAACTGTAATTTTGTTAGTTAGAGTCTAGATGGGAGGGACTCAAAACACATACAGAACTCTAAAGAAGGGAGTTGAAATTAAAATATACGTTATATGTAACCAAGCAAGCCTACAGTAACAAGCTTTGATACTAGTTATAGTTATTTCATGCTGTTTTAAAATAAAATCTTGTTCTTATTTAAACATCACTTGGCCTACGTTTCTAAAACAAACCATGCTACTAACATTTTAAAGACTGGTGTGGGACATCATACAAAGAATAGTGTGGGTCCCCTACACATAAATAGGAGGCAGGGGTGGGGTAACGAGTTCCCACAGGACTGCCACCCAAAAAGTCAGTGCTAAAGGTGAATGGTGGCAGGAGTGTTTGCCATGTGACAACACCTCTCTAGGAATCTCTAGATCCTCCAGTGCAACTCTATGGTCAACATGTACCAGACATTGACCATAAAATTGTGCTGGAGGAGCTACAAATGCCTAGTGGAGTGTTGTCTCTAGGAATCTCTAGGTCCTTTAGTGTGACTTTTGGTTAAACTTGACCATAGAGTTGCGCTGGAGGACCTAGATAAAACCTAGAGAGAACATACTGATAAAATTTGTGAATAATCAAAAACGCAAAAGTCAAAGCTGCAAATGTGGAGGGATGAGTGACTTGTATTACTATTTGTAGTATTTAAAGGTAAAGCTTTCCCTGTTGACAAGGTTGTCAAGTAGTATCTGACCATAAAGGGCAGTGCTCATCTCCGTTACTAAGCCAAAGATCCAATGTTGTCAGAGACTCTCTGTGATCATGTGGCCAGTATGATTGCACAGAACACTGTTACCTTCCCACCAAAGTGGTACCTATTTATCTACTTGCATTTGCATACTTTTGAACTGGCTAGGTTAGCAGAAGCTGGGACTAGTGACAGGAACTCACCCCATCATGCAGCACCCGGGCCTTGAACTGTCAACCTACCAATCTTGCAATAATAGAGTCAGCATTTTAACCACGTGAACCACTGCATCCCTCAATTTGTGGTATTTACTAAATGTCAAATATATCCAGAGTAAAGGGATGGAAGATAACTTTCAGTCTCATTTAAGTTATCTGCTCTGTTGTAGCTTAAGAAATAATTGGATTGCTGGCAATATGCAGATGTAAATATACCTTCAGGTACAGATTTCCCATAAGACAAGGAACCAACAAAATTTATATGTTTGGCTTTTAATTCTGCAATTTATTTGCTCTCCATAGCCATTGCAAATACAAGCTCAGTCTTAATTGTTCCATTTTTATTTTCATGGAAAACACAGTAAATCTTAATGGTTGTACATAGAACATTAAAAAGCAAAATACTAGCTGTAGGAAAAAAAAGTATTCAAAACATTAAATTAGCAAAGGTGTAATAACATCTTCAAGCTGTTCAACAGAATTTACACTGAGTTTGAGTGTAATTGTCCTGAGAAATTCTTAGCGGGGGTTCTGACAGTCAGTATCATGCCCCCAAGATCACACTGCAAGGTCTTTCTGATCCTCCACTCTGCCCATTTTGAGACTTTCAGTTCTTTGCAGATAATATTTCCCCACTTTAATCATAGTGCTGGTTAAGAAAGTATTTGTATGTTTTATCTCCTTTACTAGTTCACATGCTGTTTGTTTATAGCTCTCTGAAAAAACATTTTAATAAGGTCAGATTTGCAATTTAAATTAACTTTAGTATTTCTTGCAAACTCTACAACAGTTTGTTTATGGGAATGGCATATAGACTTAACTGGAAATTTATAGGGATGAGAGAGAGAGAGTGAGTTTTCTTTTCTAAATGGCATATATAGGGGATAAATTTTGGTAACTTTTTTCTATCTTTTTTTTTCCAGAATAACAGAGCCAAGAACAAAGAAACAAATTATGTTTAAAAATCACAATTTGAGCTGATGAAGCAATTCTCAGTGGGCCATCCCTTTATGCAAATAGCCCCCCCTTCCTGTTTGCAAGTGGCCTGTGTTTAAAATAGAATGGATGGTTCATTGGGATAAATCAGCAGATGTTTTGTGTGAACAAATTTCTGCTTATTGACTGCATTGTGACTGTCTTCTGCCCTTTCTTCTGTCCTTGTGAATAGATGTGCAAAAATGTAATCCAGTCTGTCAGAGTCCATGTTGCCATTTGTTTCAATGGGAAACAGACTGCTCCACAGAGCTTTTGATTTGTCCCCTTGAATCATGTGCTATTAGAGATGTCAGAAACTGAATGATCACATGTCTGTACTGTACTATTTCAGCCCTTGAACATTTTTCTTCATAGTAGATCTCAAAGATGCTAGTAACGAGGGAGCAAAGTGTCTCCCAGTGTACCTGTTCTCTGTCAGTGGGTTTTGGGTGGCTTATCTGGTTGAAGTGATAGTACATCAAACAATGTTAGGTGGCTGTGCCAGGCCAGCCTTTAATTTTCTGATAGTGTCCCAGAATGAAATTAGGTCAAGGGCAATATGGGAAATTAGAAGGGTGGGTAGATCCAGCCATCTGGTATTGCTTATTGTGCTGGAGTAGCAGATGGCTGGTGGCTTCCATGTCTGTGGAGTAGTGAATCTGCTCTGAGTTTAAGTCTGAACTTTAAAGGAGTTCAGATTAGTGAACTCTATCCTCAAAATAGATTTAGCTCTTTCTTAGAGAGCCAGTGTGGCATAGTGGTTTGAGTGTTGGACTATGAATCTGGCGACCAAGGTTCAATTTCCAGTTCGGCCATGAAACCCACTGGGTAATCTTGGGCAAATCATAAGCTCTCAGACTCAGGAGAATAATGATAATAATAATAATAGGCAATGGCAAACCTCCTCTGAACAAATCTTGCCAAGAAAACCCCATGATAGGCTCACCTTAGTGTCGCCATAAGTCAGAAATGGCTTGAAGGCACACAGCAGCAGCAGCAACAAGCCCAGAGCAGATTCACTATCCCATGCCAGCCACTAGCTGACACTGTTGGCTACTACAAACCAATGAAAAGGTTGCCCAGGGCAAATATCAACAATGGACACTGCCAAGGCACTGGAGTTGTGACAACTGCCCAAGGATGCCAGATACTATATAAATTCTTAAGACCATGTCCATGCTAATCTACTGAGTAGTTTTCTTGACTCTTTCTGAGTTTACTCCAGGTATGACTAAGCCTTCCTTCATGGTCTATATAAATCATCATGAAATTGGATTGAAATGAGAAGATTTATTTTCCCCATTCAGTATTTTCTGGTAAAGTGGCCTGTGAATGATTTGTTCACATGGTAACTTCTGGCTATGGTGAAGTTATTGGCATTGAGATGCAGCAGTGGTAGGAGCCATGAGATCAAGATGCAAAGCTAAGCTGATCAAGGGATAGCAGCTGGAGCCAGGATCACCTAGGATAAGACTAGCTTTTATAGTTCTCTTTGGGGAAAGAAAATGGGATGAGCAGATGTAGTGGCTAGTGCCAGCCAACTCTTCACTATTCTACATGTAGCCTTGATGATCCATCATATGGCACAGAAGTGCAGAGCTGAGGCTCCCTGGTTCTATCTCTTTGACTTCCAAGTGGTTCTGCATGTATCATACTTTTTTTTTTAGTGGAAAAGGGGGCTTAAAATTTAGTGGGTGAATTCATGTTTTGTTTCTGTAAAGTACCTATTTCAGTCCTTAGCATCTTTAGATTTGATCTGTTTGCTTTTGTTAAGGTTGGGAAGCACACCTGCATTAGGAACAAGACTGCCGCTGTCAGGTACAATAAAACATCCTTCACTAAATAGAGCCAGGGAGCACTTTATAAGCCATGGCTCCATCTTACAGAATTCTGGGATCTGTAGTTTAGTGAGGCACTAGTGCTCTTTAGCAGAGAAGGCTAAATACTTTGTAAAACTATAAATCCCAGGAGCTGTGCTCAAGTGGTGTCAAACTGCATTATTTCTGTAGTGTAGATGGCTCCCAAGAGCTGACTAAGATGTTTTCACATGGATGAAGCAACTTTTCCAGACTCTGGATAATACTTCAATATAGGTTGTTTTATTGCACAATGCCAAGAACTTTTGTTTTCAAATAGCTCTTCTGTTCCCTTGTGGTGGAAAAGAAAGATGTCTTCTGATTATTTATAATAGTAAAGAACTTCTAGGCTTGAACATTAAATCAAAATTGGCAGGACAATTCGAATAATGAAAATGAGTCATTGAAAGAATATTGTAATTGGGGTCTTCATGTCAATAATGCACTCTTGTGATTCATGCTTACCTGCTCTTTCTGATGACTCCAATTGAAAATTCTTGTAATATAATTGAAGCATAAGCTGCTAACATATTGCCAAGGTGTATATACTCAGCACTGAATGGGAGTACATTCTAACTGCATTTGAAAGGACCAATTAAATGGATTTGTAATATATGGTCACACAGGCTAACCTAGCTACTGTGAACATCCAATTTGGACTGATTTTCACTTATTTTTACATTATAGCATAATGATGGGATCATAAGATGTGGAAGCGGAGATCTATTAAGATTTGTTGTATCTTGGCAGCACCTCTGCCATCCAGCCCACTCTTAGATCACAGTATCTTTAGTCTTTCCTTTAACTTAGTTTTATAAGTTGTTGAAATTAGCAATGTTCTACTTCTTTCTGCCACTTTGCCTGTATATTTATTTTATATTTGAGTTAATACGTGGAACTCATCCTCTTCCTAAAATTCAGAATGCCTAACAATAAGTCCAATGAGCAACATGGCATGCATGCAATAGCAGCATGGCTCTATGCATGCCTACCCATAAATCTGTCTCACTGAGTTCAATGAAAGTTACTTTTAGGTGTTTATGGCAGAGATGAATAACTTGCAACCCTGCAGATGTTGTTAGAGTGCAATTCCATAAACCCTTGACATTGCTTGTGCTGGCTAAGGATAGTGTGCACTGCAGCCCAACAATATCTGTCACCCCCCTCCAGTGTATAGGATTAACAGACTCCAAAACCTTCCTTTTCCTGTTGTTGTGTGCTGTTACATTGGCTTTGAGTTATGGTGATCCTTTGAATGAAACCCTTCCAAGATCCCATTACAGGGTGAGTCTGACTTATCCAAAATTTTTCTGACTAGAAGTGTTTTGGATTTTGGAATACAGTCAGCCATCTGTATAAGGATACAATAATCCACAGCTTGAAAATATTCCCCAAAAATATAAATTCCAAAAAATAAACCTCCTCCTCCTCCTGCTTTATTTATATAGTGCTGCAGATTTATACAGCACTGCAATACAATCAATAAAACTGATTTTGACATTTTATATAAGAGATGTGATTTTACTATGCCACCGTATTTAATGGGACTTGAGCATCCACAGATTTTGGTATCCACAGAAGTCCTGAAATCAAACCCCAGTAAATACCAAGGGTGCACTGTATTTCCATATACATAATGAGATATCATGGAGATGGGACCCAAGTCTAAACATGAAATTCATTTATGTTCTGTATACACCTTATACATATAGCCTAAGGGTAATTTTATACATTAGATTTTAATAATTTTATGCATGAAACAAAGATTGTCCACATGGAACCATCAGAAAGTAAAAGTGTCACTATTTCAGCCACCAAAGTGGACAATTTGAAATTTTGGAGTATTTAGGATTTCAGAATTTCCAATAAGGGTTGTATTAACAACCCTGCTCAAGTGTTGCAAATTTAGAGTTATGAATATTATCATATTATAATCTGTGCTTCAATATTATAACTATTTGTGTTTTAATCCAAAACCAGGCCCTCATCCCTCCACTGTGAGCAATGGTCCTGGTACAGTAGATTCCATTTAGTCAATTTGGATTCTAGTGAGAGTTGAGGCTTGATTTGTTCCAGCACTCATTTTAGTCCATGGGATCTATAAATCTCTCATCCAGTACCACTTTTCAAATGATGAACTCTTAGGTGAGAACTAGATATGTCAATGGAGTTTATCACATGGGGGAAATCCTGTGCGGAAACGTGGCTTTAAATAAAAAAAAGCCTCGTTTGGATAAAAAACAAGTTCAAAATATCCCTCCAGAGATGATGGCACAGAACACAAAAGGCATGGATAAAAAACAGTCTCAAAATCTAGGAAAACCTGCTGATGAAGAATTAGATAAAATTAGTGCTTAATAACATTAGTACTGTTTTGTTATTTTGGGAGATTGTTCTTTCTGAAATGGTTGCCTATTCTCTACAGAGCTGCTGTTTGCTGAAGACAGCCATGAGGACAATACTGGACCTGAAAGCACAACAACACCATCTAAAAGTGGAGGTACATGATGTGTATTTTATTTGATTTTTGATAAAGCTATAAAAAGCAACATGAAACATAACAGGGCAGAACCTCATGATGCTACAATGCCTCCATCTAAGAAGCAAAAGAATAATGAGCAAGCAGCAGTGCCTGATGGTAACTTCTATTGACATTTTGAAGTGTGCAGGAAGAAAGCCTCAACATTATCTGCCTGGCTTGTGGAAATGCAGAAGATGGTGGCCAAGGATTGTGAGCTCTGTGTGGGTGCTAAAGGGTACAAAGCCCATCTGAATTATATGTGGGACAATCTGGTAACACAAGCTCATATTCAAGGTTCAAGAAAGGCTGGGAAAGTAAATGTGGCAGGGGGAAGGGGTACTGGAAGAAACCTACCCCGGGTGAACTGTACTGGAGAAGCAGGGTAACCAAGTTAATTAACAGGGCAAAAAAGCACTCCACACTCAGAAAAATAATAGAAAATGTAAAGGAATTCTGAACTCAAGGAAAATGATAAAAACCTCAAACTCTAACCATAACGGTGATAATGGCACCTCTCCTCTCAGTACAGAACCTCAGAAAGCCAGGGCATCTGACTCATCTAGGAATGAGCTCTAAACTCCATGTGGCTCTGGTCCTGATAATAACCAACCCTCCTTTTCCAGTACAGGATCTCAGATGCTTTGCAGTCTTCTGAATCATCTGGGGAGGACCTCCAAGCACTACATGCAAACAATCCAGACTCCCCAGAAGATGAAGGCCCACCTCCCATGTATGCAGAGCATGTACACTCATGGCAGTGGACCCATAGGTTGTACCGTTCAATTCGTATTGGGGAGAAATTCTGTTTCAGAAATTTAGAACATGTGACATCATACACACAAGCTATAAATGCATTATACAACTCAATGCAGCAGATTCTAGATGATCTTAACTGGTGAATAAGCCTGGGAGATTTTGTTCAGATTAGACTGGAAGCTGATGGTCTAAGACAGGGGACAGCAACTTTTTTTGCTGGGGGGGGAATGGCCCGGGGAGCTGGGTGGGTGCATGCGCACTTGTGCTTGCACATGCACTTGCCCCCCTGTGTGTGTGCATGTGCACGATGATGCTGTTGTGCATATGCATGCATGATGCAGATGCCATTTTGGAAGCCCCCTACGCCCTGGGCCTTGGAAAGCCCCCTGCACCTGCGGCGGGTGAATTCGTCTGGCGTGGGCACGGGAGGGGGCTTCCCTGGGCCTTGGAAAGACCCCCCTCACCTGCAGTGGGCAAATTCACCTGGTGCAGGCGCAGGGGGACTTCCCTGGGCCTTGGAAAGGCCCCCCCGTGCCTTCGGTGGGCGAATTCACCCAGCGCAGGCACGGGGGGGCTACCCTGGGCCTTGGAAAGGCCCCCCTGCACCTGCACCAGATAAATTCACCTGGTGCAGCCATGGTGCGGCCTTCCCAAGGCTCAACGGTGGCTGTGCAGCCATCGT